ACAGGATTGTATAAGGAGACCAATTTTATTTAGATAGAGACTACCTATATTTTAACTGGATCTCTGAGCTCTGGGCAGACCCTACACTGAATCCTGGGTCTCCAAAAAGCGAAAATTATTGTGAGGTTAGACCAGGTCATGCTTTTACAGTGCACTTAAAAAGTTTTTTTTAACAAAGACATTTCTATGTGTCTAAACTACACTATTCCTTAAGAAATCAAGAGTAGCCTCTGTTGCAGTAACTATTTTAGTAAAAAAATTAGGTAACACCATATAAAAGCAAGCAGTTTAAGAGCTGAGATGAACTTGTCTGTTTACACTCTTGGGGTTCCATAAGGAAACAGGTTTCTCCTCCAAGGGGAATCTGGCACCTTCTCCATTTTCTGTAAGGAACCCTGGGTATTATAAACTATATTAGGTTTCTCATAAAGCAGAGGGTGCAAGAGAAAGAAGAGACGGCAGAAGTAAATGAAGAAAACAGAAGCCAGTCAACTAAGAAAAAAGCTTTTGCTCAAAAAGACAAGGTCCTAGGAGAGAAAAACAAAAACGAAAACACAAAAACCAAAACCTGAAGGCCTTTTAAATACAAACATACACACAGGCACACATACACACACATGTTGGATGTTAGCTTTTAATTAAGCTGACTTTTAACCATTGAGCTCCTTAAAAAAAAAACTTTTTAAAGCTCATTGAGGAGAGAGACCCTCTCATATTGTTTTATATTGTTTTATACTCAGTACCTGTTTTAAGAAAAAAACAAGGAAGTAAAACCAAAGACAGGCAGCCTGGTGCCAGGCCTGGAACCAGGCCTGGGTCTGCCTGGCCTAAACCCAGTAGTTAAAAATCAACTCATGACTTAGAAACCGATGTTCCTGACATTGTATAGAAGAACACTGTGAAACTCCCTGCCTGTTCTGTTTCACTCTGACCACCGGTGCATGCAGCCCCTGTCACGTACCCGTTGCTTGCTCAAATCAATCATGACCCTTTCATGTGAAATCTTTAGTGTTGTGAGCCCTTAAAAGGGACAGAAACTGTGCACTCGGGGAGCTCAGATTTTAAGGCAGTAGCTTGCTGATGCTCCCAGCTGAATAAAGGCCTTCCTTCTACAACTTGGTGTCTGAGAGGTTTTGTCTGCGGCTCGTCCTGCTACATCATTACTGGCTGGGTATGGTGGCTCACACCTGTAATCCCAACACTTTGGGAAGCCGAGATAGGCGGATCACTTGAGGCCAGTTTGAGACCAGCCTGGCCAACATGGTGACCATACCCCATCTCTACCAAAAAAATACAAAAATGAGCTGGGCGTGGTGGTGCATACCTGTAATCCCAGCTATTCATGAGGCTAAGGCATGGGAATCACTTGAATCTGGGAGGTGGAGGTTGCAGTGAGCTGAGATTGTGCCACTGCACTCCAGCCTGGGCCACAGAGCAAGGCTCTGTCTAAATAAATAAATAAATCTCATTATCATATTTCATCTAGGACAAATTGCTGTTATTTCAGAAGTACCAAGTATCAAACCAGAAAGGGCTTGATTTAGGAACCAAACCCAGGCTGTCGTGGTGGAAAAAAAGAAGGCAGAATCCTTACGTAAGGAACTGCAGCATGGGATGACAGTCATTGCTCTTTTTGGTTGGTCTGGCTAGCAAAAATGCGGCCTTGTTATATTAAAAAAGTCCCTTAAGTAGTCAAAATAAAAAATCTTTTTTTTTTTCCGTTTGCTGGCTATTTTTCTTCCCCCACCACACCACCTTGTGTGTGTGTGTGTGTGTGGTGGGGAGGGGGGGAAACTTACCCAGTTCAGAGGCCTTGCTTCTCATAATCTGGAACTTCCCTTTGGATTTGATCAAGTCAGATAGAGTTGGTCAAACTCAATGGGAAAAAGACAAAAGAACAAAAAAAAGAAACAACAACAACAAAAAAAAAAACAAGCGAAACGAAGGATTGGACAATTTATAAGATTACTGAGCACACTCATGGTAAGGAGAAATTAAGACCAGCTGGTTGTTAATCTTAGCCAAGACAAACCCCAATTCAGTTACTTACCTAGGGATGGGTCTCAGGCTGAAGATTGCTCTCTATCATCCTAGGAGCAGGGGAAGAAAACCCCTCATCTTTCCTGTGGGAAGCGAGCTCAAACTCCACAAAAGAGTTACCTGCCTTCCACTGTCACTGAAGCAAGAAAAAACTTGCCTTCCTTATGTTGGAAGAGAGTAAACCACCCCCGTCCCCTCACCCCCCCCACACAAAAGGAGTTGTACAGCAAAATAAACTAGATCTTGACCAAATCTGGGTAGATCAGGGATTCTCTGGAGGGGGTTCTTCGAGGCCTCAGCAAATTGTCCTGTTGGTTTGAGCCATAAAGATAGCTCAGGCTGGTACTAAGGACTGACAGGAGATTTGTCAAAGGTCAGTGGCACCTCTACTAGGAATCGCTTTGTGGTTACTAAAATGTGAACCTTAAATATCTGAGTCAGATCTCAGTCAACTTAGGAAGTTTATTTTGCTGAATTTAAGGAGGCACGCCCATGACACGGCCTCCGGAGGTCCTGATGACAAGGGCCCAAGGTGGTCAGAGCACAGCTTGGTTTTACACATTTTAGGGAGATATGAGACATCAATTAATATACGTAAGATGAACATTGGTTGGTCCGGAATGGCGGGACTACTCCAAGCAAAGGCAAGAGGGAGCTTCCACGTCAAACAGTTGCATTTCCTTGAGTTTCTGGTTAGCCTCTCCAGAGGCGGTAATCAGATATGCATTTACCTCAGTGAGCTGAGAGATGACTAAACAGAATGGGAGGCAGGTTTGCCCTAAGCAGTTGCTAGCTTGACTTTTCCCTTTAGCTTAATGATTTTGGGACCCCAAGATTTATTTTCCTTCCACATTTTTTTTTTTTAAATCAGACTTAAGGTCTGCCTTGATGTTAATGCCGGAGAAGTATAACAAGGCGTATAACAAGGCACGTGTAACTCTCACTTCCCCTCAAGGCCAGAACAGTCTCTCAGGT